TGTATATGTATATACATACATACACACACATATATATATATATACATATATATACATATACATATGTATATATATACATATATGTATATATACATATATAAGAACAATATTCATATACGGTTATCCAATATATATATATATATATATATATATTGGTTAACCGTTTATGAATATTGTTCGTTTTTCAGGTCATATTTATTGTAACAATGCTGTCAGAATGGATCCCTCGTCTGAGTACAGGTGTGTGTACCTGTCTTAATCCCAGAACTGCTGTCACTGTCCACGCTCGTGACTCGGACAACGACGCTAGAGAGAATATTTCTTACATGTCCGGAGTTCTCTCACACCATGTACAGTACTTCACACTTTAGGGTAGCGTTTGTTAAAAGTAAATTAATAAACCTGTCTGTGCCATATGCACTATCAGCTTTTAGCATACAGATCTGTCAGACTTTTATTACAAATACAATTCATAATATATGTATTTTTAATCTCTATTGTATTACAAAGAATTACATATCGCTGTGAGCGAGTCTTTCTATGTCGAATGTTTTTAAACGAAAGAGGTGGCATTGTTCGTATACGTGAACCAGTACATGCTTTCAGTACCCACCTTCTGCATAGCCTCCACAACTCCCCACTGGAAATCAGACACACTAGGGATGCCACCCTGATTTGCATAGCGCTCTACATCATCAGCTTCTTGTGTTGCAAAAACTTTGGCATGTGTGTTGATTCCACCTAGGAAGTTGTCTTCCCTTGTCGCTTTGGCAACAAGCTCCAAGAACTGTGCCTTCCAAGCCAACGCCATAATATGCCCAACCGGATCGCAAGCGAATGGGATGGCGCGACCACCGCGGTTACCGTTGTTAGAACTTGGTGTGCACAGTGACTCGTCAAATTCAGTATCAAACCAATGAGGCGACTCGGGACATGTACTGGCAGAAGTAGTCTGTTCTCCCTGCCCTCCTTGTCCCCCCTGCCCTCCTGAAGGAATAGAAGGAGGAGTGTCCGGCTCACTCGCTGGAGAAGGAGGAGTGTCCGGTTCACTCGCTGTAGAAGGAGGAGTGTCCGGTTCACTAGCGTCGTTATCGTTCCCAGGCGTCACGTCTCCCTGTGTCCCAGTTTGTGTACCGTTTTCAGCAGCTGGAATTGGGGCACCACCCTCAGCTGGAATTGGGGCACCACCCTCAGCTGGAATTGGGGCACCACCCTCAGCTGGAATTGGGGCACCACCCTCAGCTGGAATTGGGGCACTACCCTCAGCTGGAATTGGGGCACCACCCTGTCCACTACCACTACCTTCTGGCCTGCCTCCATCAGTCGCCGCCCTATATGCATCTTCAAATCCACAGCTTGCAGCGTCGAGTATCTCAGAGTAATCCCATGGGATGTACTCGATGGATCCATTTTGGGGAACGTACAAATAGTAGTTGTGGTTGTTGTATGAGTTTAAGTCACCGTAAAACCGCTGAGCACTGTCCCAATTCAACATCAGGTAGTTCACAAGAAGAGCATTGAGGAATGAGTTGGTGTCTACTCGTCCATCCAAAATAGTCTGTGCAGTTAACTCATCACAATTGTCACCTGCTAAGCACTCAATGGCAAGCTGTGCAACTTCAGACAATCGGTCTAGGCCTGTGAAATCATCATCACCCACTTCATCCGGCTCAAAATTCCTTGTGTCCAAATCGAAAGTAGGATTAGGATGACCTGCGCAAGGGAACCACACCTCTTTCCACAAAGCGCCCAGAGAAGCACTCTCTTCCGTATAGTGGGACGCAATAAATATGTCATCCACCTCCTCCACGAAATTGTAGAGACCGTAGTAGTCACCGTTGACGAAAACACGCGCTGCGGCGACCCTAGGGCTGTTCGTTAGTCGTTCTTGCAGGGTTGTGTATGCTAATCGCTCACCGAGCATCGAATTGTCTTTTTGGATGCCATGAAATAACAGTTTTTTTAGCCCGTAAAACCTCTGTTTGCTCTCCTGGCCGAAGTCGTCCGCGAAATCGTTAGAATCGACTTTCCAACTCAAAGTACGGCAGGATGTCGAATTCTCAATCTTGGCACCATACCCATTACCTTCTGTATCCACGCAACCATTGAAACTTCCTGCATTGCCTTTGTATCGGCATCCGGCGCCTATGAGCGTCGTTGTCTCGTAGACATTACTGTTGGCATCAGTAAGGGGATCGACAAAATTGACAGTCACGTTGCACGGAACGGTCTGTTCCAGTGTTGGATCCGCGTCAAGGAAGGCAAGGTCGTCTTCCGTCATCACTAGATTGTACAATAGAATCTGTGTTGAATCAAAGAGCCAAGCCACTTCATCTGCTTCTGTGAGATTCGCTGATTCGACGGTGCTCGATACCGCCAAAGTACACGAGACTACCAGAGCTGCGTGAGAGATTTTCATTTTTTTTTTCCTTCTTTTGGATTTAGTGTTATATTACTCGGGTATATCTTGTCACTACTACTGTTGTTTTTTTACATTATTATCAAGGCGCCCGCTTTATATAGTCGTCGCTTGTACAGACATAAGCTCTACGAGTCTACGGTCTATTCTCTCTCTCCTCTCTATTGGAGAGAGAGAGAGTCTAGACTATACTCTATTTAACACTGTTTACTTAACAAGCTTGTAGAATGGAAGTCATCTTTAGTTTAATATTTACTGACATTTCAGTATAAATAAACATACACATTATGAGGAAAACAAATCGCTCCAGAGTAACTTCAGATTTCGAACCTGTCTCTTGGGGAAAATCCTACGATTTCTTTTCCGATTTTTTTTGGGCTCATATTTTTTCAAATTAGTCAAAAATAATTATGTTAAAATCCCAACGAGTCATCTCACATCGGGACATCTGACTTCTCACTTCTGAGAGTCATCTCCTCGAGTCCTCAACTCCTTGCAACTTGTCTCTCCCTGTGATGACAGATTAATGAGATTATGGACAAATCTATATTCTATCAACAAGTGGATTAGAGGACAACTGGACACTCATAGCCTTCTAAATTGAAACACCACTATGAACAATCGTCAATCCGATTGACCTACTCGAGAGAGAGAGAGAGAGAGAGAGAGAGAGAGAGAGAGAGAGAGAGAGAGAGAGAGAGTAGTAGTA